CTTTGCTCCTCTGCTATTGACTGTCAAAGTTCTTGAAAAAATATATGTTTTTTCTAATATCTGGAGAATGTTACGATAGATTTTAATGAAACTAGCTGTGAACTTGTTCCTAAGTAAAATTCATGTTTTGATGAAGCAACCGCGTCCATCTGCCTTGGGCTAGTGGTAAATTCTTGAGTGTCTTGGTACAAGAATTACCAGAACTTTTTTTTTGGTCGCTGGAATTCATTAATTTTATTTTTATTGATGCATCAGTCCTTTTTCGAGATTTTCGTGCTCTTGGTAAAATCTTGTAGCATTCATAGTTTTTACGCAAATTTTTTTTTTTCAATTTTAGACAATCATTATCACTACTACTCAAGTACAACAAATACTCACTACAATCACTACTATCGTAGTAAGTATCTTGGTGAAATCTTTTAGCATTCATAGTTTTTACGCAAAAAATTGTTTTCTTTTTCGTTGCGATTTAACAATTTTAAATGTATCGCAGTAAATCTGCCCTTTTACAAGAAGCAGCTTTCTCTAATAATAAAATGCCTATTCTTTTACCTAGGATATCAATATTGAAAGTAAAATGGTCGCAACTTTAAAGTCTGTCGCAATGCGACGGATTGAATATCGTTTTACTTCATTAGATTTATTTTTTTGTAAACACTCAAAAAATCTAAAGACGTACTTAGGAAAGACGTAATTCTCTTTATTGAAACTGGATGATAGTTACATAGATACGATAGTTGATGGTGGAATTACAAGACATGTTCGATATGAACCCCATTTTCCTGGATGCATAGCTGGATTCTTCCATTGAAATTGAATTGAGCCATCCTCAACATTTTTGGATCTTTCCGCCTCGTTTTGAATCCTACGCAATAATTCTTAGTAGCGTAAACTTTATTCTTCAAGGCTCCCTATAGAAAAAAATCTAACAACGTTAAGTTGGGGGACCTGGGGGGCCATTCGACAGGAACATCTCTCCCTCTTCTTCTGATCCACTTGTGTGGAAAAGTATTATTTAAATGTGCAGTTACCTACATTTGCACTAAACTACGGAGGAGCACCATCGTGCATGAACTGCATCTGAGCATGAAGATCGAGAGAGACATCTTCCATTAGAACCGGAAAAGTATTCATCAGAAAATTGAAATAATTTTCGCTATTCAAGCGGCACGGCATGACATAAGGACCCAGAAGGATATCACCGATGATCCCGGCTCAAATATTTATTGAAAATTCCACCTGAAAGTGGTTAATACGCCTCGCATGAGGGATTTCTTCTGCGTAATGGTGAATAAAATTCGGCTGGTGAAATTTGGATCGCGTGCCGACGCTCCTTAAATATAGGGGCGAAAGGATGGAGAAGCTGCTGTCATATGATGCGATTAATTGTACTTTTTGGTACGCCAAATTCCACTGTCAGAGGGCGAGTACTAATATTTGGATCTTCAGCGACCCTATTTAAAACGTCTCCCTCAACTGCTACATTTTGTACTTGAGGACGACCCACCAAATTGTCCAGTCTCTCGCAAACTCTTATGAATCCATGTAAATCGGTAATTTGGAACCCGTCGATTTGGGTATCGCACCGCGTAGACGCATCTGTACAAAGGTCGAGGGAGAGTAGTGAAAACTAAGAAACAGCTCACCTACCCAAGCCAAGGTGGAAATGCATCGTGCCGAGGGCTGAATGGTGCGGGAGTAAGTAAAAATGTCGCATCGTAAACGATCTCTTTGGGGAACCTGGCGAACCCCATCGTATTTAGCCTTCCGTCAGGTATGGGGCACTGCCTGGCGGTGACTTTTATTTCCTCCAAACTCGTGGGACCTTTATGGACCGAGAAAATAAAAAACAGGAACCCGAAAGGGGACCGCCTACATCTGCCGGGAAGCAGTAATTGCTGACCGGGCGGAAAATAAAACAGCCACTGGGAAGCAAACACCAGTGACTGCTATCTCTAGGGGAGTCGACAGACTAAACCTGGAAGGTAGGAAACAATTGTCTGGTGCGCAAAAGCGCAAACTTAAAAAACTGCGGAAGGCAGAGGCGGGAAAAGGACAGGGGCCGGTGACGGAACCTGGCTCAAGTACTACTCTAACTCCGCAGGCAGCTGAACCGGGGCCAAGTGGACTCGGAAAGAAACGTGGACGGTCGGACGGTAGTGAGCTGATTTCCGACCGGCCTGTTTCCAAGAGGCCTAAGGCCACGGGACAGCGTGGCAAGACTTACGGGGTGGCGCTGTCGGGGATCCAAGCAGTGGTGGTCTCCCATGAATACCCGGAAGTCCGAATGGATGAGGACCAGATGGGACTTGTCCAGTCGGCGCTTCTGGGGGCCATTGATGGGATCGCGGGCGAGGGTACACCACCGCGCTTCCTGAAATGTCGTCGAAGAGAGGGAACGCTAGCGATCACCGCCTTCAACGAGGAGAGCCTGCAATGGCTTAAAACGACTACGGCGAGCTTGGTGCCTTGGGAGGGGGCTAGACTCAGCGCTGTTGAGCCTAGGGACCTACCTAAGTTCACTAAGTNCATTATTTTAAAAATTATATTTAATAGAATTAAACTATTTCCTTAGATATCAAAAATCCATATACATCATATACTAAAATATAAAAAGATAAGCTAATTAAGCTACTGGGTTCATACCCCATTTATGAAAGCTTTAATCTTTCTCTTTTTAATTATAAATTTTTATAAAATCCTATTTTTTTTAACTTTAATATTCGGCACTTTAATAGCAATTTCTCCATATTCTTGATTAAGAATATGAATAGGTCTAGAAATTAATCTTCTTTCAATTATCCCCTTATTGAAAGATAGAAAAAATTTATATCCTGCGGAATCTGCCTTAAAATACTTTATTACTCAATCTTTAGCATCAAGAATTCTTTTATTAGCAATTATTTTATCATTAAATTTAAAAGAATTTTTTTTAGAAACTTTCCAATTCCTATCTATTATCATAAATTCTGCTCTTTTAACTAAGATAGTTGCAGCTCCATTCCATGCCTGATTCCCCGAAGTCATGGAAGGTTTAAATTGAATAATAGGATTATTAATATTAACATGACAAAAAATTGCCCCAATAATTTTAATTTTCTATAATTATCAGATAAGACAATTTTTATTAATTATCATTCTTATTTCTACAATCCTAAGAGGAATTTTAGGATTAAACCAAATTAGATTACGTAAAATTTTAGCATATTCATCAATTAATCATATTAGTTGAATGCTATCAAGATTATTACATAGTCAAATAATTTGAATAATTTACTTTTTAATTTATTCAATTATTACAATTAATCTTATTATCTTCAAAATTTTATATATTTTTACTTGACCTCAATTATTTAATTCTATAAATTTTTCTAAATCTATAAAATTTTCTTTCCTTCTTAATTTTTTTTCATTAGGTGGGTTACCGCCATTTTTAGGATTTTTCCCTAAATGATTAGTCATTAATAACTTAATTTTGAATAAATTTTACTTTTTAAGAATTCTTTTAATTATTTTCACACTTATCACTTTATATTTTTATTTACGAATTAGATTTTCATCTTTGATAATTAATTTTTATGAATCATTAATTTTTTCTTCAAAAAAATTTGATTTAAAATTTTTTTTATTAATTTCATTTCTTTAAGTGGTTTACTAGCTTGTGCCTTAATTTTTAATTATTTTTAAGGATTTAAGTTAACTAAACTATCAACCTTCAAAATTGAAAATAGAATAATATTCTAAGCCTTAGACTTTAATGTCACCTTTAAATTTGCAATTTAAAATTATAGTTGAATATAAGACTTGGTAAAAGAAATAATTATTTCGTAGGAAAATTTACAATTTACTACCTAATCTCGGTCATTTTACCGAATAAATGATTATTTTCTACCAATCATAAAGACATTGGTACACTGTATTTCCTCTTTGGTGCTTGAGCCAGAATAGTTGAAACATCACTAAGATTAATGATTCGATCAGAATTAGGTACCCCTGGTTCATTAATTGGAGATGATCAAATTTACAATGTAATTGTAACAGCTCATGCATTCATCATAATTTTTTTTATAGTTATACCTGTCATAATTGGTGGTTTCGGAAATTGATTAGTTCCGTTAATATTAGGTGCCCCAGATATAGCATTCCCACGAATAAACAACATAAGATTTTGATTACTTCCGCCTTCATTAACATTATTACTAATAAGAATTGTAGATAGAGGAGCAGATACAGGATGAACAGTTTATCCCCCATTAGCTGCTAATGTTGCACATAGAGGTTCTTCAGTTGATTTAGCTATTTTCAGATTACATCTAGCTGGAATTTCTTCAATCTTAGGAGCAGTTAATTTTATTACAACTGTAATCAATATGCAACCCAAAGGAATAAATATAGATCGATTACCTTTATTTGTATGAGCAGTAAAAATTACTGCTATTTTACTTCTACTTTCCTTACCAGTTCTTGCCGGAGCAATTACTATACTTCTTACAGATCGAAATTTAAATACTTCATTTTTTGATCCAGCTGGAGGAGGTGATCCTATTGTCTATCAACATTTTGATTTTTTGGTCATCCAGAAGTTTATATTCTTATTCTACCAGGATTTGGCATAATTTCCCATATTATTAGACAAGAAAGAGGAAAAAAAGAAGCTTTTGGAACTTAGGTATAATTTATGCTATAATAGCTATTGGCCTATTAGGATTTGTAGTTTGAGCTCATCATATATTTACAGTAGGAATAGATGTTGATACCCGAGCTTATTTTACTTCAGCAACTATAATCATTGCTGTTCCAACAGGAATTAAGGTATTTAGATGATTAGCAACCTTACATGGAACTCAACTTTTTTATAGGCCTGTATCTCTTTGGGCTTTAGGTTTTGTTTTTTATTTACAGTAGGGGGATTAACAGGAGTAGTCTTAGCTAATTCATCAATTGATATCATTCTTCATGATACTTATTATGTAGTTGCTCATTTTCATTATGTCTTATCTATGGGTGCAGTATTCGCAATTATAGCAGGACTAGTGCAATGATTCCCTTTATTTACAGGACTAACTCTTCATAATAAATACTTAAAAATTCAATTTTTAACTATATTTATTGGAGTTAATATAACCTTTTTCCCTCAACATTTTCTAGGATTAAGAGGAATACCACGACGATTTTCAGATTATCCTGATACTTTTACTCTATGAAATGTTGTTTCATCAATTGGATCTTTAATTTCCTTAGTAAGAGTAACATTATTAATTTATATTTTTTGAGAAGCTCTAGCTGTTCAACGTAAAACCTTTCTTCCATTAGAATAGTAACTTCTATTGAATGATTACAACATTTTCCACCAGCAGAACATAGATATTCTGAATTACCAATCTTAACAGGAAACTTCTAATATGGCAGACTAGTGCATTGGATTTAAACCCCAAAAATAAAGCTTAACCTTTTTTTAGAAATTGCTACATGAAAAACTCTTCTCCTTCAAGATAGAGCATCTCCATTAATAGAACAACTTTCTTTCTTTCATGATCATACATTATTAAATCTTGTAATTATTACTGTTTTAGTAGGACAATTAATAATTACTTTATTTTTTAATAAATTAACTCATCGATTACTTTTAGAAGGACAATTTATTGAAATTGTATGGACTATCTTACCCACAATTACATTAATTTTTATTGCTTTACCTTCTTTACGCTTAATTTATATTCTTGATGAAGTTAATAATCCTTTACTAATAATTAAATCAATTGGACATCAATGATATTGATCTTATGAATATTCAGATTTTAAAAATATTGAATTTGACTCTTATATAATTCCTGTTAATTCAATAAAATCTTTTCAATTTCGTCTTCTTGACGTTGATAATCGAACTGTTATTCCATTTGAAACTAAAATTCGATTATTAGTAACAGCCATAGATGTAATTCATTCATGAACAGTACCATCTTTAGGCGTAAAAATTGATGCTACCCCAGGTCGTTTAAATCAAGTTAGATTTTCAATTAATCGAACTGGGTTATTTTATGGGCAATGTTCAGAAATTTGCGGAGCTAATCATAGATTCATACCAATTGTTATTGAAAGAATTTCACCTAAATATTTTATAAAATGAATTTTTAAGACTTTAGAAACTTCATTAGATGGCTGAAAGTAAGCAATGGAACCATATTATAGTAATTAACATCTACTTCTAATGAAAAATTTAGTTAAAATATAACATTAGCTTGTCAAGCTAAAATTATTATTAAATAATAATTTTTAATTCCTCAAATAGCACCATTAAACTGATTAATTTTTTATTTATATTTTTTAATATTTTTTTTTATCTTCAATATTATAAACTTTTATTCCTTTAACTATAATATTAAATTGTCAAAAAAAAGAAAATCTTTATTAACTTATAATTGAAAATGATAATAAATCTATTTTCATCCTTTGATCCAAGAACTAGTTTTAATTTCTCATTAAATTGACTTAGAACAATAATCGGATTATTAATTATTCCCTTTTCCTTTTGATTAATTCCTTCTCGGTTACATATAATTTGACTAAAAATTATTATTACGCTTCATAAAGAATTTAAAATCTTAATTGGATACCATAAAACTCAAGGAAAAACACTTATTTTTATTAGTCTATTTTCTTTTATTTTATTCAATAATTTTCTAGGACTATTCCCCTATATTTTTACAAGAACTAGACATATAGTACTTACCTTAACTTTGGCCTTACCTTTATGATTAAGATTTATTTTATATGGATGATTAAATCATACTATTCATATATTTGCTCATATAGTCCCTCAAGGAACCCCTCCTATTCTTATACCTTTTATAGTATGTATTGAAACTATTAGAAATATTATTCGTCCAGGAACCTTGGCTGTTCGATTATCTGCTAATATAATCGCAGGACATTTACTAATAACATTACTAGGAAATACAGGTCCAATATTAATTATAATAATAATTAATTTTCTAATTATCACACAAATTCTTTTATTAATTCTTGAATCAGCTGTATCTATTATTCAATCATATGTATTTGCAATTTTAAGAACACTATACTCAAGAGAAGTCAATTAATGAATTTACATAAAAATCACCCTTTTCACTTAGTAGATGTTAGTCCCTGACCCTTATTAGGATCTTTAGGAGCTATAACTACAATAATAGGACTAATTAAATGATTTCATTTATATGAAAATAACCTTTTACTATTAGGATTTACTATTTTAATTTTAGTTATATATCAATGATGACGAGACATTACACGAGAAAGAACCTATCAAGGACATCATACATATAATGTAACTATAGGGCTCGAATGAGGTATAATTCTTTTTATTAGATCTGAAGTATTCTTTTTTTTATCTTTCTTTTGAGGATTTTTTCATAGGTCATTATCTCCTAGTATTGAATTAGGAATAATTTGACCTCCTAAAGGAATCCAAACTTTTAAACCAATTGAAATTCCTTTATTAAATACATTAATTTTACTAACTTCAGGACTTACAGTAACTTGAACCCATCATAGATTAATAGAAAATAATTATACTCAAAGATTACATGGATTAATTTTAACTGTAACATTATGAATATATTTTACTCTATTACAAACTTATGAATATATTGAAGCTCCATTTACTATTGCTGATTCAATTTATGGATCAGCATTTTTTATAGAAACTGGTTTTCATGGACTTCATGTAATTATTGGCTCTACTTTTTTATTAATTTGTTTAATTCGTCATACTTTAGGGCATTTTAGCTGTATCCATCATTTTGGATTTGAAGCTGCTGCTTGATACTGACATTTTGTTGATGTTGTATGATTATTCCTATATATTTCTATCTATTGATGAGGTAGATAAATAATTTATATAATATAACTAGGTGACCCGGCAAACGTTGTTTTGCCATCTTGTGGAACTGTGGATGGAACAAAATAATATAAAAATCCCGATTAAAAATCAAGGGTTGATCGTATAAGGGTGAAAATTTAGAACTGTATATATTTTTCAATGCTGAATCATGAAAAAATAAAAACAGAAAATTTTGTCCAAAAAATAAAAAAAAAAAATTTGGGGTGGACCACCCTCAACATTTAGGGGTATGAAAAATAGATGTTGGCCGATTCTCAGACCTACTCAATATGCTCACAAAATTTCATGAGAATCGGTCAAGCCGTTTCGGAGGAGTACGGGAACGAACATTGTGACACGAGAATTTTATATATAAGATAATTATATTTGACTTCCAATCAAAAAATCTAGAAAACTAGTATAAATAATTAAAATTATTTGTTTATTAACTATTATAATTGCCTTAATTAATTTTCTATTAATTATTCTATTAAACTTAATCTCTAAGAAAAGATTTTCTGATCGAGAAAAAAGATCAACATTTGAATGCGGATTCGATCCTAAAAATCCAGCTCGATTACCCTTTTCATTACAATTTTTTTTAATTGCTGTTATTTTTCTAATTTTTGATGTAGAAATTACTTTATTATTTCCATTAATTATTACTCTAAAAATTTCTAACATTATACATTATTCTATTATTTTTATTTTTTTTATTATAATTTTAATTTTTGGTCTTTTTCATGAATGAAATCAAGGAGCATTAAATTGGGCATATTAGGATAATAGTTAACTATAACATTTAATTTGCACTTAAAAAGTATTGATTTATCAATTTATCTTTAATAAGAAGCAATATTTGCATTTGGTTTCGACCTAAAAATTTGATGATTTTTCATCCTTATTTTAATTGAAACCAAAAAGAGGTATATCACTGTTAATGATAAAATTGAGAAATTCTCCAATTAAAGAAATATGATACTCAAGATTAAGCTTCTAACTTAAATCTTAAGCGATGAAAATTCGTTTATATTTCTAATTTATATAGTTTAATAAAAACATTACATTTTCAATGTAAAATTAGAACTTTTCTTATAAATTTAAATTACCTAAAAATATTTTTATTTCCTTAATATCTTCAATATTATGCTCTATATAAGCTATTTAAGTATAATAAAAGTATCACAAATACTAATCAAAAAATTATTAATATAAAAAAAATTTTTAAATGATTAATTGATAATAATTGTAAAACTTTCGTGATTAATTGAAGTTTAATTCTTAAGTTTTGACCACCATAATATTCAGTTCAACCCTGATGATCAAATCTTTTTAAATAAATATTACCACAATAAATAGGATAATAATTTATACCTAATGTTGAAATTATCGGTATAATTCATATTATAGCTAAAAATCTTCTTAATGTTAAATAATCTAAAGATTTTAAATTATAATTTAATTTAAATTTAGCTAATTCGTACCCAATATAAATTCCTAAAATAATTATAATAAAAGTTATTATTTTTAAAATAACTGGAAGACAAATAAAATATGGTGAAGGAAAAATCAATCATATTAATATTCTTCCTCTAAAAATTACTCTAAAAATTAATCCTAATATACCTTTTAATATATAGTTTTGTTCTTCTATTAAGCAATTCAATCTTAAATAATTAAATCTTCCTGTTAATCTATAATATGATAAACGAAATCTATAACATACTGTTAATCCAATAGAAACAAAAAAATAAATTACTAAATTTAATAAATTTATAGATATAATTTCAACAATTAAATCTTTAGAGTAAAAACCAGATAAAAATGGTAGTCCACATAAAGAAAAATTACAAATATTAAAAAAAGAACATACTAAAGGTAACTGATTAATTAAATTTCCTATATAACGAATATCTTGACAATTATTTATTGAATGAATAATCGAACCCGCACATATAAATAATAATGCTTTAAATAAAGCATGAGTTAATAAATGAAAAAAAGCTAATTCATATCTTCCTAAAAATAAAATTCTTATTATTAATCCTAATTGACTTAAAGTTGAAAGTGCAATAATTTTCTTTAAATCAAATTCAAAATTAGCCCCTAAACCAGATATAAATATTGTTAATCTTGCAATTAATAAAAATATTATTGTTAAAGATTCCCTAAAAATAAAATTAAAACGAATTAATAAATAAACATCAGCAGTAACTAAAGTTGAAGAATGAACTAAAGAAGATACAGGAGTTGGAGCAGCCATAGCTGCAGGTAATCATGAAGAAAGAAGAAAGGCAGGGTAGATTTGGGACCTTCTGATGAAGATCAGGGGGGACCAAAATCTGTATTATCTGGTCAAATTCCAGGTGATACAAGCGAACATTCAGCACAGTAGAGCGGCATCTGCTGCTCTCTGTGCCAGTGTGGCGCGCGCAAATGCGGATTTAACTTTGATCCAGGAGCCTTGGGTACATGGATCCCGGATCAGAGGATTGCAAGTAAGTAATGGTAGCTTACTGTATTGTAGCCACCAAACTAGACCTAGGGCTTGTATTTATTACAAGAATAGCATTAACATTTTTCCTCTTCCAGGGTTCTGCACGGATGACCTGGTGGAGGCCGAAATGACTTACGTATCGGAGGGAACGCAGAGACAACTGGTGATTTGCTCAGCGTACCTCCCTTACGATAAGAAAGAATCTCCTCTAACCAGGGAACTGAGGGACCTGGTAACCTGGTGCGAGAAGGAGAAGAAACAACTCATCGTGGGATGTGATGCCAACTCACACCATACGGTGTGGGGAAGCAGCAATGTCAACGATCGAGGTGAGTCTTAGTAGTATAGCAGTGGGGCTTTGAACTCACTTCAAGGTCACTCCAGGCTACCACCAGGCTGCCGCCATCCGGAGCTGGCACCAGGTCTCCAGCAGCAGCTCCAAGGTCACGCTGAAGAAGTGTCAGTGGGGTGCGGGGGTGGGGGATCTGGATTGCAGAAGAAGAAGCCGGGGTCCGTCATCGGCAATGACCAGGAGGTCTGCATCGAGGAGCGTGACGTCAGAGGCGGCACCAGGTGCGTGCATGAGCAGCGGCGGGGGGCAGCGGGGTGCAGGTGCGGAATGCAGAAGAAGAAGCCGGGGTCCGTCATCGGCAATGACCACCAGGAGGTCGGCATCGAGGAGCGTGACGTCAGAGGCGGCAGCAGGTGCATGCATGAGCAGCGGCGGGTGGGCAGCGGGGGGCAGGCGCCTGGGGCGGCAGCGGGGTGCCGGCGTGTGGGGTAGCAGCGCGATGCCGGCTTCCGACAGCGGGATGCCCGCGTCATAGGGGGCAGCAGGTGGCCGTATACGGCCTACGATGCTGGAAGCCGGCAGCGGGCTGCGGGGGGCGGCGGCGGCACCGGTGACGGCCTCTTGGTATAAATCTTTTTGTTATAAGGTAGAAAATAACGAAACAAAAGCGGAGGCTTCAGATAAAAATCGACTGAAAGTACTCATGGTAAAAATATTATTTAAAAAAAAATAAATCCCGTGTCGAATCAACACATATGAGTTGTTCTGTTTTAGCGTTTGCTTTGATACTCTCTTGGATGCATAAGTTTTATTTTTTAATGTAATGTTCTCCGGCTTCATATGAGAACGTGACTATAAGTATAAACAAATTTTGATCATTTCGTTATTATCACATAAAATAATATTACGCCGACAATCGAATATTTACGTATAAATATCAGTTGGGAAAGGTTATTTTATGCTATTATTACAATTTGCGATGTCCACCGATGTTACAAATAGGATGTCCACCGAAAGGTGTTTTAAATGGATTTTACATTTGAATTATTTGACAAAATTATAACAACTATTTTTTATGGTAGAGGTTGGCATGACCCACGTTCTTGGAAACAATGATGACGTCATCACCATTTCCGGCACAGGTGTTGTTTTTATGACAGTTATGTAAACAAATGTATGATTCATTACCGTTTTCTTGGAATTTTGTCGGGCTTTTAAGCAGTTATGTAAACAAACTTCAAAGGCGGTATGCGTCTTAATTTTTTCTCGGAAATTGATATATAGATGTATTTCTTGGAAAATACNTATTAGGCAGCAATTTCGCACAATCGCACCTTCGTACGCGATTGGTTAAACAACGTCGTTTCCGACAGGTGGATTGGCCGCAAGGGGCCGAATGACAGAGCTTGTTTCGCATGGCCTCCACGTTCACCAGATCTGACGCCATGGGATTTTTACCTTTGGGTGTT